TTCCTCTTGGCCCTGGGGCTGGTGGTGGGGAAGACAGATGATGACAGTAAAACATGTCCCTAAGCCTACTTATAGCTGAAGGCTCAGAAATTGTTCTTTCTCCTATGTTGTCAGGATATAGAACTCACCCAGTTTTCCTCCCACCTCTGGGCCACAAAGAGTCCTCCAATCTTTGCCAGGGCTTCCCTTCCCTCTAATTTTTAAATGTTTTGAGCACATCAAGTCTTAAGTGTGGATCTCTTCTCTCCTCTACCTCCACCTCCTCCCTAGGGAATCCATTCTCTTTCCTGGCTTTGAAAATCACCTGTGTGCTGAACACTTCCAAATTTATCTTATAAGACCTCACCTTTGAATTTCAGATCCAAACAACTACCCACTTACCACCTCCTCTTGAATAATTTTTTTTTTAGTTGTAGATGGACACAATATCTTTATTTTTATGTGGTGTTGAGAATTGAACCCAGTGCCTCACACGTGTGAGGCAAGTGCTCTACCACTGAGCCACAGCCCTGGCCCTCCTCTTGAATATTTAATCAGCTCAGACTTCACATGTTCAAAACCAAACTCCCATTTCACTCCTCTACATCTGCTCTCCTAGAATCTTCTTCACCTTAGCAAATGGCATCTTCATTCTTTGGTTGCTCAAGCAAGAAACCTTGGAAATCTCTAGACTCCTTTCTTTTCCACATCCCAACCCATTAGTAAATCATATCACCTTTGCCTGCAAAAAAAAAAAATGTCCAAAATTTTAATCTGCTCTCACCACTCCCAATCACTAGCATCTCTCACTATTCCAGTTACTTTATAACTAAAAAAATAATCTGTGGGTCAGGTGTGGTGGCGTATGACTGTAATCCCAGTGGCTCAGGAGGCTGAGGCAGGAGGATTTCAAGTTCAAAGCCAGCCTTAGCAAAAAGCAAGGAGCTAAACATGTCAGTGAGACCTTGTCTCTAAATAAAATATTTAAAAAGGGCTGGGGATGTGGCTCAGTGGTTAAGCGCCCCTGGGTTCAATCTCCAGTACCAAAAAAAAAAAAAAAAAAAGGGGGGGGGGGTTGCTGCTATCTTACTGAGAGGCAAAGCTGAAATCTTTTTAAGGGCCCTGTATGGTCTGCCCTTCACCACCACCCCTGCCACCTCTCTGGCCTCACCTCAGCTTCTAGCCTCCTCCACCTTGTCCCCCCAAACTACCCCACCATCCTCCCTTCACTTTGCTTCAGCCACACTGGCCTCCTTCCAAGTCCACAAATGCAATAAGCCTTTGCACCTGCTGTTCCCTCTACCTGGGTTGTCCCTGCCCGTATCCGAACCCCTCACCTCCATCAGATGTCTGCTTCAACACAAAGTTATTATGGAGGCTTCTGTGATTACCTGATTTAAAACAGCTGTTGCCCTTCATCTTCATTCTCTTCTCCGAATTTCTCTGTAGTGACTATCAGTGTCTGACACTGTATTCTACTGGCTCTACACCTTCCCCTTTCTACTAGAGGAGCACCATAATAACAGGAATTTTTGTCCTTTATTGTCTGCTCTGTCATCTCTGCCCAGCACAGAGCCTGACACATAAGAGACACTCAAGAAAGATTTACTAAATGAATAAACAAATTAATAGAATTAGGGTGAGACGTACAGTCTTTTAGAGGCAGCCTGGGGGGGGCTGGGGTTGTGGCTTAGTGGTAAAGCACTTGCTTAGCATGTCAGAGGCCCTAGATTCGATCATCAGCACCACATAAAAATAAATAAAATAAAGGTATTGTGGGTATTGTGTCCAACTACAACTATTTTATTTATATATATATATATATATATATATATATATACACACACACACACACACACACACACACACACACACAGCCTGGATCTGGAGATCTGACTTCTAGTACTAGATATGACACTAGTTATGTGACTTCTAGGCCACATGTTGTCCATCTGTAAAGGGTAGAGAACTGAGGTCCTTTACTGCAATAGCAACATTCTAGAATAGAATGATGCTCCACCATGGCCACACCTGCTTTCATTTGGCTGAGAACAGGAGGGATGGACAGGAGCTGTTGCTGCAGAAGGAGAGAACTCTCATCCTTCTAGTTGAGACCTAGATTGGATCTTTGCTGGCTTTGAAATAACAATAATTTTTTTGGTTTGACTTGGCAATGTTCTAGGAGTCCTGGGTGAGGAGTCCAGCCTCACCTGCTGGGTGGAGACAAGTAGAAGTCTGACCACCAGAGCTGGGCTCCTTCCTGTGGGGAGTCAAGGCTGTGAGGGCATCCTGAAGAGCACAAGGAGAGGCCAGGCAGGAATTATAGAGAAGGGTGGGCTAGAGAGGGTCTTCTACCCAGAAGAACTGCCTGCACTGAGCCCTTGAGGATGCTGGGTGGTCAAGCCTCCTTGTGGACCACAGCTGGCCCCCAGGCCTTCTAAACCAGCACCAACTCAGGACACAGTGGCCAGCCTTTTGGCTGAGGGCAGCCGGGTCCTCCTCCCTTTTCTGGGTCTTGCCACAGCTCCCTGCTTGTTTTCCCCGAAATAAATGGGCTGAGCATATTGGGCCGGCAATAACCCCTTGAAATCAGTTGTTATCACAGTTAACAACCAGTTTGGCTTCAGTTCAGGCTGTTAACTATCAAACCACTAAGTGCCGGTAATGATTGATTCTTGGCCAGTTGCAGCTTGAGTGGGCTGTAAAACCCCATTAGCGAGGGCTCTGTGGAGGCAGCAACTCAAAGGTAAACAAGTTGGTGGGTGCCTTGTCCCACTGCTCTAGGCTCAACTCTCATGGGTTCTGGCATGGGGACCTGCTGGAGTCAGTCCCAATGCCTCTGGCCACCTTAAGGACCAGATCTCTACCTCCAGTCTACCTCTCCTGCCCCCTCTCTGGAAGGCAGGTCTGTTTTTCTGCACAGCCCATCTCTTCTTCCTAAATGCAAACATGGCATGATCCTATTCCACAACACCCAAGGACTCAGGACTCCCAGCTTGGGAGCTAAAGGTTTAGCTTTGGCCTAGCCAGTGACCAGCCTTGGCCCAGTCCAACCCCACTTTGTGGCCAGGATCACAGGCAGAGAGCCTGACATTCCACCCCCATTCCACCCCACCACCACCCCCGCCCCAGACTCCCTCCTACCCTGTAGCTTCCCCCAGGAATTGCTCCCAAACAAATGAAATGTGGGTAATTACTGGGCTGGGGGCTGGACAGGCGACCCGTGCAGATGAAAGCGTTTCCTGGACGGTCTCTCCATTTGCATGGCATCAGAAGCTGCTCAGAAGGTGTGACTTTTCCCACAGTGAGACCCTAGCTCCTTGCACAATAAAGCCAGGCTGCTCACCCAGAATTAATTAAAGGGGGAGGGGAGCAGAGGAGGAAGCACCAAGAGCTGAGGGAGCTGGTCGAGAGATATCTAGAGCCCACTCCCCACATCCCCAATGTCTATGAACCAGGAGAACCCTACTCTAGTGAAAGCCCCTCACCCTCTCCTGCAGGCCAGAGGAGGGGTGGGCAGAGCCCAAATCTTTCCAGTGAGCCCTGGAATTCCTGATCCATTTGGATGGGTCCAATCTGGGACTTAGACTGTACCTCTAGGAGGCCCACCTGGCCAGGAAGTCTTGGGATGCCCCCACCCATACCAAGTGAGTTATTAAAGAACAGGTATTTAGGGAGGAGTTTCTAGACTAGCCTAGTAGGTGGGCCATGGGTGCAGACCAGGGGCATCGTCAGAGAAGGCAATTGAAACAGCCAAAATGGAAGGTCTCAATTGTGAACCCTGGGCTGGCTCTGGGCTTCACACCTGCTTCTGGGCCTGGACTTTCCTTAGGTATGTTGTGATGCCAGCTCACTGCTCCACATACGAATATATCACATGTCCCTTCCCACCATGGGCCAGTCCTGCCTACATGGTGACCTGCTTCTCTGCTACCATGGCACAACCTGTCCTTTTTAGAGCGTCCTCTCTGATGGCCTTGTCCTTTCAATATGGTTGCTGCTTCTTCTTCAGGCCATGACTGGCTTAAGTTCTATTCTAGCCCATGAGCCTCCTTTCTGGTCCTCCCCCAGAACCAGTTTCTCTCCTGTTAGGCCCATCTTTCTGAGACCCACAGCCTCTACCTGCCCTGGGCTGGGCAGCCCCTGAGCGCAGTACTTTCTGTTTTCAGTTCTCTACCCCGATCTCCCAAAGAAAACACTTGTTCCAGATCTGAAGTGCCAGCAAAAGCTGTGGTTGCCCCTCAATACACCCTCTCCTTAGGCCACAGCAGCTGTCTTTATTTCTTTTCTTTTTTTTAAGCTTGATTCTCAAAGAGAACCAGTTCTGGAATCTGGGACCCGTCTCACATGGTCTAGTCACACAGGCACATCCTCAAAGACTTGAATCTGGATTGCCTTGCTAGTCCTAGCCTGTCCATCATTTCTGACTCTGAGGTGACCTAGGGAAGTGTTAGCAGTTACTCCTGTGAAGAGCTGGGCAGCCCCTGTCCAAGAGCTTCCAGAACCAGCCAAGAGTCTCTTCCACCTCTTTTCCCGCTTCTATGCTCCCAGGAAACCACTCCAGTGACAGTGATGGGAATGGCTGACAGGCAGGGGTCTGCTGGAGGGAGGCTGCAGTCAGAGCTGGTGCCTGACTTGCTGTGTTCCCCAGTCACACTGGTCAGCTGGGGCAGCACAGGGGGAGAGGCCAACCCTGCCAGATTCACTCCATCATATTGCTAATATGCAAGTTAAATTAATATTTCAATCATTTAATAGCAACTAATATACAACTACCCCCACTGGCACCCACCACCATGCTAGGTGACCTATACTGCACCTTTTTGCTCCCTGACCCAACCTGGAGGTGCAGGGGTCCCGTCCCGGCTGCCCTGCCAGTTGCTCTGCAGGTGCTGGAACCTCAGGAGTATTTCCCCCAGATTAGAGAGCCCTCCACCCCCAGGGAGCCCTGATTGGAACCCAGTCTGCATTTGCCTTTAATGGACCTTCTTGAGAGGTAAGAATACAGACGTCACAGCCAGTGGAATACAAAAATAGAGCCTCTTTTTTTGTTAAAAAAACAAAACAAAACAAAACAAACAAACAAACAAAAAACCCAACAGCAAACAATATCAACAACTAGAACGCGGGCTCCGCCAGCACCTCCCCCGCCCTTGCGGCGCAGCTCTCAGCTGACAGAGCTGCTCTCCAGTGTCCCCGGCGGCGACTGTGGGAGGGGCCGGGCAGGCGCCTATCGGGGCTCGGGGGCCCAAGTCCTCTGGCTGCCGCGCAGGCTGCGCGTGAAAGGCGGGTAGTTGAGGAACTCGAAGCGCAGGCTCTGCTCAGTGGTGTGGTGCCCGCGGGGCAGCCGCTTCATGAAATGGACCTCGCGCTGGTGCTGTCGCGTCTTGGAGCCCTTGCGGGGCCGGCCCTTGCGGGTGAAGGCCATGTACCAGCCCTCATACTTGGCATTCTGCAGGGCTGTGTAGTTGTTCTCTAGCACGATCTCCGTGAAGACACAATCCTTGCCTTTGCCGTTGCTCTGCAGGTAGGGGGGCAGATGCGGTGTTATGAGTCCCCCATGTGAGGCAGAGGGCCAACGGACCCAGACAGCAGGTGGGCACCCCAGCAGATGGTGATGGGGGCAGGAGCCCAGCCCCACCTCCTGCCCAGGCACCCGCTCTCTAATCCCTCACAACCAGCAGCCCACCCGGCAACTTCCTGTCCTCCTGGGCAGCAGTGACACATGGCTGTCTACAGAGGGGCTGGGCCCACGACAGAGAGGCAGAGTGAGGGGCCCAGAGCCTGCCTGCTCTGGCCTCCTGCCCACCAGTCTGGCCTGGGCTGCATGCGCTTCCCCACCTGCTTGCCTCAGCACCACAGGACTCCAGCTCCCAGCCCAGGGCAACCACCCTATGGGGGAGGGGAGCCTGGGAGGAGACTGAGTCCCAAGCCCCAAGCCTAGGAAGCTGGGGAGCTCGAGGCTGGAGAGGAGCCGTGACTAATGGGGCCATTTCAGAGCTCGGCTGAGGGGGCCGCGCCTGCGGCTTACTGAACATTCCAAATGCTGGTACCATGTAATTGGACATAATAGCAAAGCAATTTGGCGATTTGTTAAAAAGATATATGGAATTTACCAACCCCCCCCCAGCACCTTCCCTAGGCTTCCTCCTTCGTCTTTATAGTTTTTCCTCCCTTAAGCAGTTTCCTTCTTCCTTACCCCCCACCCCCCACCCAATCATTAGGTAACCCCAAGGTGGCTACGTTTCTCTGCACACCTTGTTGAGATCACAGCACAAGAATGTCCTTAGAGGAGCTAAACCAGCCCAGGCTGCCCCTCAGGCCCAGGGCCCACCTCCCTCCAAATACCTCACCTTGGCAATCAGCTTCCCCTTCTTGTTCATGCAGATGTAAAGACCTGTCTCTGCTCCACGGACTCGAACCCGGCTCCCAAAGGTATCTGTTTCCACGATGAGCTTTGCTATCAGAGAAGGTGTGGGAAGGTCACTGAAAAGCCCCTGACCCCACCCCACCCCCAGAATCCATAGCCTCCCCCTCTCTGGTCCAAGGACTTATCACATCCCAGCAGCAATTGCTGGGCTAGGCAGGTCAGTCACTCAAAACATGGGCTCCAGCCCCAGCCCAGCTACTGACATGCTGTATATCCCTGAGATCTCTTGAGTTGAGAAGTGATGGGATCAGCTTACAAACTGGGTTCCACAGAAGGGACTGGGACCATCGAATTGAAAAAGGTGCACCTCTATTCCTTCCATTGTGTTTTCAAACCAGACAGTGATAACTTGTATGTTAAGGTTACAAGTAAAATTTAATCTGACCAGAGTTCCTTGGCTAATCAAAAGATCCCTAAGGATCCCTCCAACTTAGATTATTTTGTGTACATGCCTCAAGGTTATTATGTGAACATCCAGGTGTAGTGGTGACCTCCAGTCCTGAAGCCAAAGGTAAAAGCATCCTCTCCTGTTCCTGGCATGTTGGTTGGAACTCACAGGCTTGATTACCCCTGCCTCAACCCTTTGGGCAGCCCTGCTCTGCTAAGAGATGAGAACAGTTCTCCCTACACACAGCCCAAAGCAGATTTTCAGAACCTCAAACACCAGCTGGGAGGATTTTGCCTGCATCTTTCAGCTTCCCAGGCACCAGACCACAGCCCCAAGTTCCAGACAGCAACAACTCAATATTTTCTCTTTCAACCTCCATCATAGCTGGGCTTCTCACCCCTGTGACCAAATTCTTTCTGGGGGGTGAAGAGGAGAGAGACTCAGGCAGAGCTACTTGCAGTCTAGACAGCCAGAAGCAGGGTCTGACTTCTGTGCCTTGTTCCCCACCCCTTCTCCCCTTAGAGAGCCAACTTACCCCAGAACCCATCCACATTATCTTTTCATGCAACTGCTCTCTTAGAAGCCATCGAAAAAGAGAGCAAGGGCTGACCTTGCTGATGGGACAGAAGGGGCTGGATCTTCTGCCCTTCCTACGGCAGAGTCCAGCCTTTTGTGACATGGTTCATTCTCTGTTCCTGAAACCAGTACCAGAGGTGGGGGAGCACTGAGGTCAGCAAGGCAACTCTCCCTGCCTTCACTATGACTATACACCTCTTCACATAGACATAGAGCTGGGAACCAACCAGTGGCCAAAGTCCCCAGTCTGGCCCCAAGTCAGCTAGGAAATCAGCTGTCATCTCCTCCTGACCACTTCCTCTTCAACCTTGCCAGTCTGCTCAGGCCTCTTTGGGTCTGCCTTCCAGAGGCAGGAACATCTGCTTTTTAGGGAAGGATACTGGCTGGAGAAGGGAATAGAGGAAACCACTCTGAAGATTCTGGCTAAATGGGGTATATAGGAACAGAGTGGGTGCCTTTATCCCTTCCTAAACCTCTTAATGAAGTAATTGGGATCTCTCCATTATTCTTCCCAGACTCTTCTTTCACCTTTTTCTATACCTCGGCTCTTGGGACTTCCCACTCTTACTCCTCCCTTGCAGGCAGGAACCAGGGAACCCTGGGTCTAACGAGAGAGAAAATGGGCAGCAGACTTCCTTGATGTCTGATTGGCCTTCCCTCCCCAAAATCCAAGGATGCTGGGCCATTTGCTCCAATGGAGTAAGCCCTGAAGGAGCCAGGCATTCGTACCCTTCCTTGGAAGCTGAGAAGGGCAGCAAGCAGCCAATTTGGAGGGACAAAGGGCCCGTAGGCCAGCTCTACCAGCCCAGCGGGGGAGCTTGGCCACCGGGCAGGCTGCCCCCACCCCCACCAAGAAAGCCCTCACTCTCCTTCCCGAATGGATCTGGAAGCTGGGCTGCAGTTCACATCGACTTTCCCAACTGAGCTTTTGGAAAAGCTTAACATTTTCAAACCTATTCTTCCACCCCAGTGACAGATTTATCCCAGGAAAATTATGTCTCCTCCTCCAGCTTTGAAGGGAAGTCAGCTACGTTGATGCAGAAAAAATGCAGCGAGACATACTCGATCCCCCAAACTGGCTCGAGAAGAGGAGAAAGTATTCAGGAAATGTTAAAAAAGGTGAAAGTAAGAAGAGTTTTAATCGCTCTGCCAGACGCGGGGGTCTCTCCAGAGATTCATAGAGAACAATCTTGAACCTCTTTTTTACATTTACAGACTTGCAACTCCTTTCAAACTCCACATCTGAAAAAAGGCTGGTTCTTTTTCTGTTTTATATCATTCTTCATTTTTCTTCTTAGCTCTTAAAATGCCTCACCTTTTTATTACATTTTAATAGAGTCTTCCTCTCTCCTTTCATGCTTGTTTAACTTGGTCATTATTTAAAGGTTTTTAAACTCACAATAATCACTCTCTAAAAACAACACCAGCCGCCCAGAGGGCTTGCTTTTCTCTTGGTACATCCAGGACTCTGGAAATTGGCTACGTTTCAAGGCAGGAATATTGAATGTTTTAGAAATCAATCAGTCCTCAGCCTCTCTGCCGGCAGTAGCTCCCTCTACTCACCACCCAACAGGGACTAGGGAACCCTGGCCACAGTCCACCGCCACCCGCTGCCTGCTGCCCCACAGTCTGCCTGGGTTCTCCGCAAGTGGAGCAAGGAAGGCCCCTTTCCAGGCTTAGCCCCCAGTGTGTAATTGACCCTTCTGATCAAAGTATTTAATGGTTCACAGTATCTCCCTTTTCCGAGCTAGAAGAGCTAGAGGGATTTCTCTCCCTTCTCTCTCCCACTCTCCTTTTGTGGGCCCTGGCGACATATCCTCTTTCAAGAGCTTCCCTTAAACGTGGGCCCCCTCCCCCTGAACCCCCAGCCTCCACCTGCATCTGGGGAGGGGTGCATAAAGGGGGAGGTGTAAGGGAAACTCTTGAATTCATTCATCTGCTGGGCAGGGAAGGGGGCACCTGTGGGCTAAGTCCTCCCCAGGGTCCCTTGCCCAATACTGTCTCTCCAGCTGACCCACAAGACACCTTTTGGTTCTAACCCCTACAAGCCAGCCTCTGGAGAGTACAGCTGGGGTTACCACCTTCCACAAGCTACTTTCATTGAGGTGGTGCCACTAAAAAGTCTTACCAAAAGGATCCCCGTCTTCTGCCATGGCGTTGATGCGCTTGTTGGCCAGGACCTGCACGTGCTTCCCGCTGGTGCGGCTGTAGAGCTGGTAGGTCCGAATGAGGCGGCGGCTGAGCTGATCCGTCACCAGGCTCTGCTCCCTCACATGCTGTGTAAAATTAGGTGAGGACTGAACAGTTACCTTTAGGAAATTGAAAAATACACAACACGCCATTATAATGCTACTCCGCCCAGGGGCCCGAGTGGCCCCCACACCCCGGCATCCCCCTCCTGCTGCACCAGGCAGCCAGCAGAAGCTGGGGGGATCCCCCCCAAATGCCGGCTCAGGCCACCAACCCCCACCCGGGAAAGTCACCCAGACCCAGCCCGGGATGGGATAGAATCTGGACCCACCTGTTGGGAAACACCCTGGGGCTCCCGGCCAGCTCGGAGCAGGGAAGCGGGCACCCTGCCCAGCGCAGGCCCCCCGCCCGGGCCTTCCTAGAGGAGCAGGGTGCTTTTAAGTATGGAGGCAGCGCTACCCGACCGGTGACATTTATAAAGACAAATTTACGGAGCAAATATTGAGCGCACAGGGCCTAGGCACCCCATCATTGGGCCAAACCAACCACAAGTCTCCCCAGAGGGCCGCCGAGAGGGTCCTTGCTTGGATTCACCTGGACTTCCCTGACAACAAACGTCCCCTGGCTCCAGCTGCCCCCTTCTTCAGAGGCCAGGTGTGGCTTCCAGTAGAGTTCCCGTCCACCCAATCTGGCTAGCGTATGTGTAAGACAGTTCTATACTCAAAAAAGCTTGGGTTCCAGCCTTGCCACTCACTAGCTGTGTGACATTAGGCAGGACACTACCACTCTGTTCCTTAGCTCCCTCCTCGGGCTAGTTCGGGGCTGGATTTCTAATGTTTCTTCCATCCCTGAAGCGCTGGTCTTGCCCCTGCCCGACTTTGCCAGCCGGGTTCCCCGCCAGCTCGCCTGGCCCCCGCCTCTGCGCTGCGCTCCTTACCTGGGCTTGGAGGCAGAGAACCAGCAAGTGCAACAGCCTGTGGGAGACAAAAGCGGGCGGGAGAGAGGCGCAGGGTGAGCGGAGAGCGCGCGGCGGGCGCAGGCCAGGCTGGGGACGCGGGGGCGGCGGCGGTACTCACAGGCAACTCAGCGCGGAGCGGGGGCTGCCCATGGCGCGCGGCCCCGGGAGCACCGAGAGCCCTGACGGGATCACGCCGTCCCGTGGGCGGTCGCGGGGGACGTGCCGAAGGGGCGGAGGCCGAGGAAGTTTAGGGTGCGGGAGCTCAGCTGCGATCCCGACGTGGCTCCGCGGGTCCCGTGGAATGTCTTGCTCGCCGCGCCGCGCTAAGTCGCTCTGAGCCGCTGCCGGAGCCGGTGACCGCTGGCTGCTCAGGAGCCGGAGCAGGCGGGAGGGTAACGGGCCGGCGGGGTGGGTGGGTAGGTGGGAAGGGAGGGGGAGGGGTGGGGCGGGGGGCGCCGCACCGGGCGCGAGGGGGGAGTGCGGGGCGGGCGGCCGGAGCCCGCAGCTCCCGGCTGGGAGCTGGGGCCGGGTCGCAGCCCCGGGCGGGGGCGGGGCAGACTGGGGCGGGGCAGCCCACGGGTCGGGGATGGGGGGTCTGGACTAGGGGAGGGGTCTGGGGACCCGCCAGAGGGGCGGGGGAGGCTAGTGTGGGCGCCTCCCACCATCCCCTGGCGCTCTCCTGGGGCACGGATGCGCGGGGATGGGGGCGCCCAGGGCAGCCTCCTAGTTGGGGTTCCTAGGCCCTGGGCTTGGCCCTCCAGGACTACCCGGTGCCTACGAGCCTGGTCTGCTTATACCTCTGGCTTCACGTCTTGTCAATAAGCCACCTACTGTGTGCAACGACCAGGCTTGCTCTTTAGGAGAGGCCGCTAATAGCTGAATGAATGATTGTGTGCCCATCTCTAGTAAAAGAACGTGTTTCTGTCACTGGGGGCCTGGCTCTTCCATCTTTCTGCTGTGTATGCAGCCAGTCTCACCAGTTTTTCTCAATCTCCAAGGAGGCCCTAGAGAGAGAAATGCCTTCCCCTACCCCATTATCACCATTACCCCACCACCAGCAGCAGCCTGAAGCTTGAGAGGAACCAGGAGATACCTACATGGAAGGAGGATCCCAGAGGTTCCCAGCAGTACTCACAGCCACTGCCCCCCACCTAAAACTCAACAGGCACCGGGGGCAAAGGACTATTCGCAGCAGCATTTCATGGGGAAAGGGACTTAGATGAAGGCTACCCAGCCCTTTCCTCCTTCAAGTTCCATTATTTCATTTCATTTAGCAGGTATTTACACTTGTGTACTAGGCAAGGACTGGTGTCTTGTGTCAACTGAGGGGTCGTGTGTATGTGTGTGAAAGAGAGAGAGAGAGAGAGAGAGAAACTTGTCTAAGCCTTTCCCAGTTCCTCACCTCATTGCTTCCTTCCTGGGACTTCTGAACACTCTGAGCCACCATTCTGTTTCTGTGGGAGCAGCCTGGGTGGGCAGAGGTGCCCTGAGGAGCAGGTGGAGCCATTGATCTCCTACCCAGCTGCTGTCTTTATCCACAGCCTCCTCCCCACTGGCCCTCCATGACCCTGTGGGTAGGGCTGGAGGGGTTGGGGTGGTCCTAGGAGGCCATCAGGCTAGAGGGAGGCAGGTGGGCCCTTGTCCAAGCACAGCCAGGTTCTGCCTATAACCTTTTTTTTCGGTGTCCCACATTTCCCCATTCCCAGTCATACATGCAAACACTGAGCAATATATAGAATGGAAAAGAGAGAGGTTCATTTTAATACCTCATCCCTCCTCAGAGAAATAGGCTTCCCTAGCCCGCTTGTTATTCCCATGTAGGAGTCTGTTCACTCAGTTCTTGTTCCCACAAATCCGAAGGCAAGGACCATGTCTTACTAGCTAGGCAGAGTTGTTCTGCAGTTAGTGTTCACTGCATGAATGGCAGAGCTAGGCAGAGTTGTTCTGCAGTTAGTGTTCACTGCATGAATGAATGAATAATGAGGAAACTGGCTGAGCATTTAGACTTCAGCCCATAGGCAACTTCCCAAGGAGACTTGCCTCCTCACCCCCACCAATAGAAAATAATCATGAGCACCAACATTTACTGAGCACTTGTATCTTCTAAGATCTTGGCAGGCACTATCTCCTCTAAATCTCACTAGGAAGTGGGCACATTAGGGGGTAGATAAATCAGATGGGGCTCTAAGGCCCACAACCCAGGTTGGCCCTTTTCTTTCACTGTGCTTGGTCTAGGGACCATGACTTCTTGTCTGCCTCCCTATCTGTGTTGCTCAGAGCAGGCAAGGGAGATGTCTGATCAGTCTTAATACTACTCTGTGTATATAGTAGGCCCTTAAAAGTGTTTATGCATATGTATTAGGGAATGAATGGAGAAACAGGGAGCAAGGGATGGCATTTTCTGAAAATGCCTCCTTCCCACTATGAACTCAGTCTGAGAAAAGAGCAGGAAGCAGCAAACAGGATCCAGGTAGGGGTCATGGCAGCCAGCCCACTTAGTAGTGTATACATTGTCCTAGAGTCAAAACCAAAGTCATTCTGAGTACCTGCCCTCCATGAAGTGGAGGCAGAGCATCTGGCTCAGATCAGCATTATGCCCAGATTTTGGAGACCCCAGAAGGATATTTGTTTTTGTGGTGCTGGGTATGGAACCTGGGGCCTTGAGCATGCTAGGCAAGAACTTGATGGCTGAACTACACCAGTACCCAGCCTTATAGAAGGTTCTGAAAGCTAGACTGAACCTCAATGATCTTCACCTATCTTCTTTCTTCTCCCCTAGAGGAGATGGGCATCCTGGGTCCTAGAGAGTCCCAGGTTAGGTTTTAGTACCACTCCTAACCTCTCCTACCTCCTGTTGAAGGACCAAATTCCTTTACCTTTGGAAACTCTCTTGCATCCAATTCATGGTGATTCCTCTTATCTCCCCGAAAGTTTGTGTCTCTGGGGACAGGGGCAGAAGGGTCATTCCCGCAGCAGGCACCCTGTTAGGCTGGGGCACACCCCTTGACTGACAGATGCAAATGTTCCACAGGGCCCCCGCAGGCCGCTCTCTCCCTCCCTTCCTTGCAGGCCTCCCAGCCAGCTCCCTCCTTCCTTTATCTTATCAAAGCCCCGTAATTACAATTGCTATTTTGTTTCCTCGAATCTGCAATCAGAGCTCCCGGGTCCAGATGAGCGAGCGCCTGTCAACCTGATCGCTGAGTGACAGCCTGGTCACCTTTCCCCGCAGCCCCCACACTCTGCAAACAAACACACACACACACACACACACACACACACACACACACACACACACACGAGCGTGAGCATGCTCTCTCACACACGCTCACACACTCCCTCTCCTGAAAACACAAACACACTATTTGCCAACACGAATGACTCCTCTCCACAACCCATTCTCTACGTCCTCTTCAGTACCCAAATGCACCCCTTGCCCTGCGACTGGCTCCAGGGCCCTTCACACTTGCCGTGTGGGAGGCCTGGACTGCCTCTTGCTGAGACTGAGATGCGTGCCTCCTGAGCCTGCCAAAGATTCAAATGCAAATCACCGAGACAGTGTCTTGTGCTTTGCAAGTCCCCTGGGAGGCTTAGCTTGTCCTCTAGGAGTGGCACACCTTCGCTCCCCAAATACAGGGCTGGCCTTTCAGCGGTCTGCAAACATAGGTACATTTTCACATTTTCATCCCCTAACCCCCAGCGCTCTGGCGTGATGCAGGTACAGAAAAAGGGAATCGAGAGGCGGGGAGCAGGAGAAAAAACAATTCCCAGCACCATCTGTGAAGTGCCAGATCAGGCTAGGGAAACTCCTGGACTAAGAGGATGTGGATTGGGCCCCTACTGAGGGCAGGAACGTGCTAAGAGCCCTTCCCCATTCTCCACCCCAGACCTACCAGCAAAACATGGGAGAAATACAATGGGTGATGAGCTGTCCTTGCAGGGGCGGGGAGCAGGACCAGGATCACAGCAGGGGGTAGATGGGTCAGCTTGGGAAGCTTCCTCCACCCCAAGAAATGACTTGGTGTTGCCCTCAGCCAGTCTCCAACCAAGCACCCGCTGAGGACTTTGAGGTTGGAGCCCAGAGGAGGAAGGGAAAGAAGGAAATGTTGCCGCCCAGCCCAATTCCTCTACTCTGGCACAAGCACTTCAAGTGAATGAATGAATGTATGCATGCAAGCCTTAGTTATTTATTCTCTCACCTTCAGCCTAAAATTCAGCTGCCCAGACAGCCCACAGGATTAATAGGGCCCGCACCATGCTGCACACCTAGAGCCTATAGAGGCAGTTTGGGGAGTGGGTATGCCACAAAGTTTCGACCTTGTCCACCAGAGGGCACCAGTTCCACTTTCCCAGTTCTCACCAGACCCGTCTGGCTACTGGGGGGTGGCAGCACTTTATAAGGTCATCCCCCGTGGAAAAAGGAGGCTTCCTTTATTTTTAACCTGAGGCAGGGTGGGTGAAATCAGGATCCCTAACTCCTCAACACAGCAGGGGTGTGTGTGTGTATGTATGTGTGGTGGTGGTGGGGGTCTCTCAGAATGTGAAGAGGGGCTGCTTTTCTGTATTGTGGGAACTTTCCTCAAAGTCAATCTCACCTGCCCTAATAACAGCACCTTTGTTTTACTTATCTGAGGAACCCTTCCCCATGCCTACTCACTAGCCCAGCAGCTGGTGTGGGAATAGGCCTGACCCCCCTCAGGCCCTGTTCTCTGTCCATCCTCGGCTTGTCTGGCCTCATGCTGTCTGGAGAGGTAATGTTTTGTTTGTTTGTTTGTGGGGCAATGACACCCCCTCATCAACACAGCTGCTGAACTGCTGACCCCAGAGCTGGTAACATATATCTTCACCCTCATACAAGTACATCCCTTTCTCTCCTAGCACAGAAAGTCAAAGCCCAGAACCACCTGAGTTCGGGCACCAGAGATCTCTACACCAGGCGGTGTGCTGGGGGATAGGAACCCCTTAGCCTAGGAGGATGATTCCCAGAGGCCCTTTTCTGTCCCCATATGCCAGGCCACCCGGATTCTGGTTTCCCTGTCACCCAATCTGGCTAGTTCCCTCCATCTGGCCCTGGGAATCAGGTTTCTAAGGGCCAGCCCTGCTCAACCTGCCTGAAAGACTGAAGGAGGAGCAAAGACTAGTCTCCACCCCAACCCTCAAAGGCCCTCTCTGGGTCTGAGTTCCCTCATGGGGCTAGGGATGCACATTCCTCAGGCTGCTTAAGCCTGCTTATCAGCCCCCCTTCCCATCAGCCTGAGTGCTGACAGAGGCCCAGACCCCTTGTTTGGATGTTGATAACCTCCTGTGATGGCCCTCCCCCACTTGCAGAGGCTGGGAATGGGCTGGCTGTTGGGAGATCCCTCTTGGCAAGGCAGTTGAGACCTAGACATGGTCCTGGCGCAGGGTTCTGGGGATAGCAGGATCCCACATAGTTCCCCACCCCAGGTCCAGGGCCACCCTTTGTGCTGCCACAGTGCCACCTGGTGGTCCCTAGGGAAATGTCACTGGCATGGGAAGAAGCCACACAGAGCAGTTGCAAAAAACCCCACACCACTTTATTTCAATCTTTATCTAAAAATGTAAAAAGTGTTACAAATGTGTAGTTCTGAGATTCAGATACTAACCTTTAATCCTCACAGGCAGGTGGGGACATAGAGTCAGCATAAAAGTTCAAAATTCCCCTTATGCCTATAGGAAAGGGAAGCTCCAGACATGGTACAGGACTAGAACACCAGGACCCTAAGGAGAATGCCTCTTTCCTAGCACCAGCACAAGACCCTTCTACCCAACCCATGCCCCAAACTCTCCTCTTCAATGGAGAAGAAACATTTAAAATTCTTGAAACTTGTCCACGAACATGGTGCATGGTGATGCAGCAGGTAGTTACCTGACCTGAGAACAAAAAATAAGCAGTCAGCATCTAGGCTCTCACTTGCTCCTCCTGCCCCCTCAGAACCTTCTGGGCAGCCTTCCCTTCCTACTCACCAAAGGCTAGCGCCTACTCCCCTGCTTTTTGGCAGGAAGGATGGGGCACAATTCATCTTCCTCCTCTACATTATCCTCTTCTTCACTCTCCTCTTCCTCAGAAACATCATTGCTTATAGTAACTGGTAGAAACACAAGCTGTATAAGGAGGAGGTTAAAAACAGACCCCTGTCATACCACGTCATTTGTTCATACACTCTGGTGCTAGGCTGTCCTCCCAGAGCTCATTGTCTAGGTGGAAGAAGCCTCAGACACTAAACTAGGTAAGAAGAAACTAAATGAGTCCACATCACTTGAGCTGGTAAAGATGGGACAGGCTGCATGGACTAGGTAGGCTTGAGTGGGGCAGCGAATGGAGGGGACATCATGCCAAGGGACATAGCTTGGGAAGGCATGCAGGTCAGATTGAACTACACTGGGAGATGAGGCTGAATAGTGCAGGAATTTGGAGTGTGGGGAGGGGCGGATGCAGAGCCCATTGGAGACAAAGGAGAGGGCCCTCCCCTCCTCTCACCAATCTGGTGCCGCCCAGTGATTCGCACAGGGCCAGAGCCCGACTTCAGGCGGAAGGTTACAGGTGGTTGAAGCTGGAAGTCATCTAGACTGAGCTGGGAGGAAGACAAGGATGAAGGCCTGGACCATTCCTAGCCCATCTCATCATGAGATGAGCACTGATGTCCTCAATCCCCATCCCACCCCACCCAACCCAAGACATGGCTGGGGAACTCACCATGGGCTGGCAAGACAACTTGAGGTTGGCCACAGGAACTGCAATCTCCTGGTGATCATGGTTTCGGGCCACAACTTCCACTACATTACACTCGTCCTTGGCCCCCTCGGTGAGGCAGAGCTGGGAAGGATTTACAGGGCCTCAGGATCTCCCCAAGACAGGTTGATACCACAAGTAGAGGCAGCTACCCTAGAACTTGCCTGGTCTCAAAGGTTCCTATATCAGGGAACCAGGGGAGCAGTCTATGACTCCTAATAAAGGAGTAGCAAGGGAATTAGGTAGATCCACTGGTTGCCAGCCCCCTCTACCGCCCCTCACCATGGTCAACGCCAGCACGTGCTCTGCATCATCCTCTTCCTCTACCTTGAAAGTGAAGGAGCGGGTGTGGCCAGAGAGCTCACAGCCTGAAAGAGATATCGTGGTAAGTTTGAGTGTTGTGTGCAGAAGCGGTGGGGTGCGGTGGCGTTTCGCTAACCCATCATGCATAGTCATGGACTAATTGGCCATTTAACACGCCTACCAGACGTCCCCTCAGAAAACCTCGGTAACTAAACCCTGGGCCTGGCCCAGCACGTCTCGGGTAGGGGTCTCGGCGTCCGCTTTGGCTTTAGCGTGCTAGGGCCCACCTGTCCGCCGCGAATAGTGAGAATCCCTTCCGCCCACATCCACATCGCGCAACCATCCACATTCCTGTTCTTCATCCCTACCGCTTCCTCCCCCAGGGCCACCCTCAGCACCTTTCCCCAATACCGAAAAAGAAACTGTCCATAGTAACCGGGGCCGGGACTCGCAGACCCCCGACACCCCCGGCCCGGGATCGGCTCTCTTGACTCAAATAAACTAAAGCTGCGGCAGTGCCGGCGGCCATGCTGCAAGGGCCGTCTCGGAGCTCCGCCCCCAGCACGTAAGGAGCGTGGCACCCTTGGCCAGTTCCGGCCCCGCCTATTAAAGGAGACACTCCTCAGGGAGAGGAAAGGCGTCCGGATTGCAGATCTAGGGTTTCTCCTGCCCCTCGCTCTGTAAACCGCAGCTCCTGCTAGCACCCGGCAGGACTTCAGAGGAAGTAACTTCACATAAAAGCATAGATTTAGCCTTAACGTTAACGTTTTTGCTAACTTACACGGCCATGAGCGCGCCCATTCTCTCTGATTCATCGCCCCATATATTGTCTCCCTTCCAACCCAGGGTAAACTTTCGTTGAAAAACTTTCTATTTCCCCTCCTGCCGAGATGGGATTCAGAGCGGCACTTTTCTTATAAAAATACTCTGGAAGGGCGTAAAGGAAGTTTCAGCTCCAGGAACTTCCGCCCACCATTCCGTCCTGTTTCTCTTCTGCATATTCTTTCCAAACGCTGCAATTCACTATCCAGATGGTCTATCTTCCTTAAACTTTAGGTGACAGGACGCGGATGCTTGCTACCAGAGGACTAGACAGCTCAGCTGGGAGATTCAACTGCTGCTCCTGGCGGATCCGCTTTTTTTTTTTTTTTAGTTGGACACAATACCCTTATTTATGTGATGCTGAGGATCTATTCCAGTTGCTAGGCGAGCACTCTACCGCTGAGCCACAACCCCAGCCCGGGATCCGCACTTTTTAAGGGCTTCGAATTCTCAACCCAGGTACATACTTGTACTTTATTTGAATCCCCTTCCCTTCTTCTGTAACTGGGATTCAACTCAACGGGTGCCCTACGCGGAACTAATCTCTAGCTGAGGTTAGCCTTGAACTTGATCCTCTTGCCTAGATTCCTGAGTGGCAATTCCTTTTTCTATCTCAAACTGCATTTCTATCCCGTTACTTGAGAGAATATGAGCAGGTTATAATTGTGGTAAGCTTTGCTAAAAACTAGTCTACTACTTTTGCCTTGAGGAAAATCTGGAAGGAAGAGTTTTACTGGAGATGGGAGTAGGGGAGGGCTGCCTTTAAGAACCAGTCTCTAACTTGGAAGAGCTGTGGACAGAAGTTCGGTATGCCTCCCTGCTCTAAGGCAAGGCATTATATTTCAGAGTGTAGTGGTGGTGGTGCGGGGAGTGGCAGACAGAAGTAGGTGCACGCAGTAGACACCACACACATTCACTTCAAGTTTTATTTAGCCTCTTGCATGGTCTTCAGATAGTTTTACAGTTCGTTTTCTACAGGAACTGAGTTGTGATCTAAACAATCAAAGAAATGTCATTCCAACCTTAATAAATATTCATAACCATGGAAGATAGCATAGCACTTTATGATCCTATAGTGATGAAGGTATAGACCTGGACATCTATTGCACAGTTAGCACGTGTGACCAGAGGCCAGCCAAAGGGATTACTAAAAGCCAAGATAAAACCAAAAGCACTTGTTTTAAAATCCTGATTCCATGAGGATAACTCCAAAATCCTCCAGATAAAATGTATGAGTGCTTGAGATGTCAAAGACTAACATTCAACTGTCTTAATATTTAGTAGGGATCTCACCTTCACCTCAGCCCTCAAAAATGCAAATTTGTTTTCAGCTTGCCAACACATTACATTTTATCAGTTAAAAGAGTTCTACCCTAAGAACAAAGAGACTTCCTTCCTCCTCACCCACAGGGCACACACTTGGGCCTCCACTGGAAGTCACTAGATACCACTGCATACAATGCTTTAAGACTCACTCAAAGCCCACACTAGTGGAGATATACCAAGGAAAATCTGTTTCAAGTTTCCTTCTTTATCCCTCCCTCTCCCCTCATTGAGCTGAAAGTTAAATAGCTGATGCAAAACTGCTGGGAAGCAAGATAACAAAAATACTGTTATGAATCTATGGAGAAGTCAGCCAGCCATGATGAAAAAAATGAGTCCTGCAGAGATTACCTGCCAGCCTCATGCACAGAACCCTTAAAAAACACCAATTCTAAATTAAAATACATGAAGCTTTCAGAACCTGTGATTAAAGGAAAAACAGGGGTAGCCATAAATCATTGGTTAAAGTGTGCTCATTCTTTTAAAAATTAGATAAAATCATGCAAGAATTAAAGACTGATTTAAATCAGTAGTAACAAGTCTTGAGATTAAAGGACAACTGATCTAAGGGCAAAAACCATTCAGTCTTCTTACCCTATTTGACAGATGTCAAAACGAACATTTCACATGCTGATCTGTTATTAATTTCCAGAAGTGACTGCATTTTGCAACAGATCTAAGAAATTAGGCTCTTGTACCCAAAAAGGTTATGGCCTAGCCCTAAGTGGGAGGCACTTTAAAACTTATTATGGGGTGGGGGGAAGGAAAATTCACCTTCCATTGATTTGCTAATTCAAAGTGCCATCCTAAACACCTTTTCATTTAAAAAAAACAAAACAAAAATTACCAAAAACAAGAAACAAAAGGATAGTCAAGTTACAGCTAGTTTATATACAAAGAAATTTACAAGTTTGTCAGTTTTAGGCTTTTACACAAACAACTGCACATTTGTCCCTACAAAGTACAACATGCCTGAACCAATGGTTACTACAGGAGACAATCGGCCATAGCTTTACAAAAAGCAGAAAAACTGCCCCAAATTGAAATCATTTATTCATCTTAAACTAATGCCACAACCATCCCACCTGGAAAATCAACCCTGAAGGCTCTGAAACCCACTAAAATCTTTCTCAACTCTGCATGTCTCCAAAGAATGAGACATTTCATTCAATAAACCAAAGAGGATGCCAGAAGTGATTTTGATTACTCTTAGGTGAGAAATGCAACACTGGATACAGAAAAATAGTGCTGACTACATTTATTAAAGACCCTCCCTATAAGCCCACCTAAGGTGTCTTGGCACCTAACACAAGACACAAGACCCAGAAGAAGGGCCCCACATCTCTGTTTCATACAGAATTTGCAGCAGTATACTATCTTCTTCCAACCAGTAAGGAGTCTGAAAGTGTGATGGGTGAGTTTTAACAAAGTCGTCTTTGTTTTCAATTCAAATGGACTGATATGTTGCTGCTCCAGACGCAGAACTGTATGAAGACCCCAACCACCAACCACAAGGTGGAGTTAAGAGTTTTGGACAGTTCATGGTGCCAACAGTGTCACAGGCTCCGACCAAGTATAACCACATCCTTTGGAAATCCTTCCATTTTTGCAATTTCAAAACAGCCTAACTTGCTGTAAAATTCCAGAATTCTTTTATCATCTGGTCTCACTTCACAGAAAGCCCCCCGGGAGCCTAAAAATGAAATTCCAAAACATAAATAAGTCACTTATGAGGAAAATTATGGATATAAATTAGAAATAATCATTAATGCATTTACTACAATAAGCTTGTTTATACCAGTCCCTAAATTTCATGATATCTTTATTTTATTTATTTTTATGTTGTGCTAAGGACCAAACCCAGCGCCTCGCATGTGCTAGGCAAGTGCTCTACCACTAAGCCACAGCCCCATGCCCTAAAATTCTTAATAATAATATTCAACAGTGAGTGAAATATTTATTTTGTGATCTAAACAATCAAAGAAATGTCATTCCAACCTTAATGTCCCAAAATCTTTTAGGGAACAAGGTATAAGAAACCTCAAGACTGAGTCAAACATGGTGATGCACACCTGAAATCCCAGTAGGGAGGCTGAGGCAGAAGGATTCTAAGTATAAGACCAAACCTAGACAATACCATAAGACCCTATAGCAAAATTTTAAAGAAAGGGTTGAGTGTATTTCTGTGGTGGAATACATGCCTAACATGCACAAGGGGTCTGATCCCTAGTACTACCAAAATTGAATTCCTAAAGGAACTTTCTCCTTTAGATTAATTTTGAACCACTACTTATGATTCACTCCTCCTTTAATTGGGGCTCAAAATAAGTGTTCATAGTAATAAAAGAAGAGTAGTATTTTTCAATAAGTAATATACATGGAATTCTTACACACTAATAATTCAGAAAATAAGTCATGAGTTAAAAATAATAGCAAGTGACTGTAGTCTCAGGTACTCTGTAGGCTGAGGCAGGAAGACTGCTTCAGCCCAAGAATTGCAGGTCAACATAGTGAGAAAGACCCCATCTCTCTCTCTCTCTCACACACACACACACCAAACAGTAAGAGAGTACAGATTAACAATTCACTTCTTTCCCTTTTTAAAATTCCCTTGCCCAAACAATGCCAACTCCACAAATATGTACTCACCATTAGCTTTCAGTGAAGACAGGAGGCAAGCCATCATACTCTTGGCTACACTTGGGTCAGTTACTTTTTTGTGAATATCCATCTTGATCAGAGAAGGGAAGTTGGCGAGGAAAGTTTCTGGCAACACTTCCTGTTCTTCATGGAAACTCAACATTATTTTCTGCAAAAATTAGAATCTTTTGACTTCCAATTTCAAAACATTATGTATCTATATCCTAGAACTCACCAACAGGAAAATGACAATATTTAGTAACTCTTCCAGACATTACAAAATTATCACACACACAATTAATTAGCTTTCGATTCCAGCTGAAGCATTTTTCATGTTCAAAGCTTTCTAGGGAGTTGGGGGGAATAGCTCAGTGGTACAGCACTTGCCTATCATCAAACAAAAGCCCTGAGTTCAATCCCTAGCACCATCAACTGGAATACAAAAAGGAAATTAGTGGAAAAAAGTGGTGAATAAAATGGTACACACCTGTAATCCCAGTGACTCAGGAGGCTGAGACAGGAGTATTAAAAGTTTGAGACCAGCCTCAGCAACTTAGTGAGACCCCGTTCTCAAAATAAAAAGGATATAGCTCAGATAAAGCCCCCTGGTTCAATCCCTAGTTTAAAAAAAAAAAATAAAAAAAAAAAAAAAAAATTATAATATATTTTTTTTTTTTTTTTCCCTCACCTTATGATGGGGGCTATAAATTCAAAGTATTGCAACTCACAAAGGAGTTTTTGCCAAGTTGGCAGAGTGCTTGCCTCTCATGCACAAGGCCCTGGGGTTCTATCCCAGCTACACACACACACACACACACACACACACACAATTAGGGTGCCTGGTGTGGTGGCACACACACCCAGCTACTTGTAAGGTGGAGGCAGGAGATTGATCACTGAAGTTCATCAACAGGCCAGGAAACACAGTAAAACCTGGTCTCAAAATGTAAAATTTGGAGTGGGTGGGGGTTTCTGTACAGAGTATCTTTTCGCTTGTTATTATTCCCTAAACAATATAGCATTTACACTGCATTAGGTATTAGTAAGTAGAGACAATTTAGAAGTATATGGGAGGAAACTGGGTATCTGTTTTTTCTGATCCTAGTAATGTACTTACCTGTAAATTCATTTTTCTATTTTGTATTTTGGGTTATTTTAGCACTTCATTCATTGGTATGCTATATTTTCCATACCCCCTACTCACTTAAGCCAAGGGTGGGGGGAAGCCACACACACATTAACTAGGCAGCATATGGGAGGGATATATGTGGATTACATGCAAAAACACCATTTGATATAGTGAGCTTAAGCATCAACAGATTTTGGTATCCTATGGGTATGGTATGGTTGGGGTAGTCCTGGAACCAATTCTCTGTGGATACTAATGGATGACCATACATTTTGAAGTATCAGTTGTTTTCCATCCTTCATCAGGTGACTAAAACCTGTGGCTTGCTGCTACTGCCTAGCTTCATGATAGCATATCAAACTGTTTATTGGTAGCTAGGAAAAGATCAAAGTTCAAAACTGAAGTATTATTTCTACTGAGTGTATATTGCTTTTGTACCATTAAAGTTAAAACAACAACAACAACAAAAAATCAGACTATTATTAGTTGGGGCCATCCATATGTAATACACTCTCAGAAAACTGTACTCCACTCACATTCTATAGTAAATCTATTCTTTTATTTATTTCTCCCACCTATCTTTCCCCCATCCCCACAAAATGAGATCACTCTGCCTTATCTTTCTGAGTTCCTGGAATTACAGGCATGCACCACTGCATCTGGCCCCATTCCCTATTTTACATAAGGTAATTGATAATATGTACACAAGCACACTGCCAATAGTATGCCTGTATAAACTGCAATGGTGTGCTCAAGTAAATTGCCAATGGTATATTTTGATTGACCTCAAATGGAGATTGGATGGGAAAAAATATTGGTTTTATGAAAATAAAACCTTTCTCCATTACTGGCAGGGTCACATTTAGCTCGTCTTTAAATTCCAGTAAGATGTTTTGCTCAAACAACAAAAACATAAAAATCTTTTATACTTTGTATGATGGGAGAACTTTTGTTTTTCATATATCATTTAAAAAAATTTTTAACCAAATGTATTCTTTATTTTTTAAAATTTTTAACAATATTTATTTTTTAGTTGTAGTTGGACACAATCCCTTTACTTATATATATATTTTAATGTGGTGCTGAGGATGGAACCCAGGGCCTCACACGTGCTAGGTGAGCACCCTACCGCTGAGCCCAGCCCCTCATATATCATTTTTAAGCCAAGGGCAATTTTTACACATACAGCAATCTAAGTAGATATATTATATATACTAAAAAAAAAAAAAAAAATCTTATTAGTTTTCCCAAAGCTAGCATCTCATTTAAACTTCTTGTTTAAATTTTTAAAAAAGTACTAATACTTCTCTTCTGTAAGAAATTAACTTGAAGAGTACTGAGATTTTATAACTCATTCCTTCATTCACTCAGGCACAGTTCTGGAGATTGAACCCCCAGGAGTACTGTACCACTGAGCTTTAGGAGCCACCATACCAGGCTTACTTTTATATTTTATGGAAAAAATAAAACAAGCCAGGCACAATGGTGCATACCCATAATCCCAGTGACTCAGGAGGCTAGGCAGGAGGATCCCAAGTTCAAGATCAGCCTAGGAATCTTAGCAAGATCTTGTTGCAAAAAAAAAAAAAAAAAAAAAGGGGGGGGGGGATGTGGGGCTGGGAATGTGGCTCAGTAGTAGAGTGCTTGTCTAGCATGCATGAGGCCCCGAGTTCAATTCCCAGGAAACATACACAAACACAAGGGGTGTGGAATAGGGAAAGAATGCTCAGTAGCACACGCATGACACACTGGGTACAATCCCTAGTATTGCGAAGTAAACAAAACAACTATCACCATAGTATAATTCTAAACCAATACATTACCTCAGCCTCTGAGAGTTCTTTGTCACCATTTGGCTTTGTGTACTTCTCCTGCATGAATGGAATCCAGGAAATTTTACATTTTTTAATGAAGGGGGTCACATCTACAGTGCCCAAGGCATAACCACATATACCATCTTCATCTTCTAGGACAAAACAGTAATCCAGGCTGAGGGAAAGCAGTCCTCCTACTAATCTGCTCAGAAGGAAAGAGGACAGAGTGAGCTTGTTACGTGACTAATACAAAATTCAGAATGTACTCGAATGATCTTATTTCCAGAAACTACATTTGGTATAAAAGCAAATAGAAACTCACACATACTGATTTTCAGATTTCACTAAAACTAAATTAAAAAAAAAAAAAATTTTTTTCCAGTCATTACCTCCCCTCAACCAGATAAACCTGATCATAAAATGTCTACTCCCAAATCCAAATAGTCACCACATACTTGTCTCCAATAAGGTCAGGTTGACTTTGAAAAGGCAAACCCACTCCATCATCATACATTTCTCTGCAAATCTTGTACACGGAAGCCTGAAAATATAATCTAGTTAAGCAACACATCAAGAAAAATGGCAACAGAATCTATCAACAGTATGATTTATATGTTAGTCTGGGGAGGGAGTGACAAAATGTCTGTCCTGTCAGAAATATCACCTGTGCTTCATTAAATAAAGATTTATTCTTTGGTTCAAACCTGTAAGACCAGTAAAAAACAGCATGGTTTTAGTAAACTATGAAAACTGTTTTGCAGGAGATGCTTTTGGGTAGTAAACTGTAGATTTAAAAGCCAGCAAAATCCAAGCAACTTGGAGGAATGAGGCAGGAGGACCCCAAGTTCCAGGCCAGTCTTAGCAACTGAACAAGACTCTGTCTCAAAAGAAAAAATAAAAAAATAACTAGGGATGTAGCTCGGGGGGTTAAGTAAAGTACCTCTGGATGTAATCCCCAATATTAAAACAAAACCCACAAAAAAACAGCATATTGAGTTTGTGTCTCTCAACTTTCTAAAACATAAGAACAGTTCTTATTTTTAATCAATGAAATGTTACTGTTTTAATATTGTTATCTTTAAGCAGGCTTGCTTTTTCCCATAGATGGTTGTCAACCACCTACAGGTACAATAGAAAATTACTTAACTACTTAATATTCAGTCAAGGATTAATAGTCATTTAGACACAGTTGCGGTGCTGGCACATGCCTACAGTACCAGCAACTCAGGAGACTGAGGCAAGAGGATCACAAGTTTGAGGCCAATTTCAGCTTGGTGAGACCCTGACCAACTTAGCAAGCTCTTGTCTCAAAAAAAGAAAAAAGGGGTGGGGACATAGCTAAGTGGCCTCTGGGTTCAATCCCCACTACCTACCCCCCTAAAAAAAACCAGATATTAACTGTTTAGTAATTCTGACGTTACCTGTTTTGTCATTCCAACTTTTAATACATTTCATTTGACTTTTTTACAAGAGGAATTAAAGGACTGAGCACAAGATGACAGGAGTCCTTAACTTCACTCCTTAGGTTTTCCCTCAAATTTCTCTTAGCTTTCCTCCTCAGGTGTTCATTATTTTATTTAACTTCCCCATGTAAAGTTCGTACTTTAAGGGTTAGGGGTATGGCTCAGTGGTATAGTGCCTGAACAAAGCTCTGGGTTTGATCCCTAGCACCACAAAATACAAAGTACTTATTTTAAGACAGAAGAGATTTTTTTTTTCTTAACTAGGAAAGTTGTGAGCATATAACCACCATTCACCAAGTTGATAGGCAGACAATTACCTCATCTTTAGGAAAATATGGTCTGATAGTATAAACTTTGGAGGTAGGAGTCAGTGGGGGTGGTTGGAAAAATAGATCATTTGCCCCATCAATTGGCAGCAAACGCTGTGGAAGGAAAAAAAAGGAGATGGATTAGCGTTGGGAAGATATCCATTTCTTTAAATGAGTGTGCACTGCAGATTACCAAATTAACATTAACTGGCTACTGCAGGCAGACCTAAAGAAGAGGGGTGTACTATGCTTTACTAATATAAACACCTCTTTGCTGGGGTAGGGGAGTGCTTCTGCACAGAAATTACCCAAACTGAGTTATACAGCTTTTAGTGGCATAGTAATGGGAATTTAAATTTACAATAAAAAACAACAACAAAAAAACTATTCTAATTACGACAACTATTTTTTTTTTTTTTAAACCAATCTTAAATAGACCATCTTCCTATTAAAAGATGGCAGAACAGAATGTCAGGAGGAGAGGTTTGGTCTGAAGAGGGTTATCTGTCCAGGAGACGCTTTATCCCCAAAGCAATGCGCTTCAGTTTGCTGTGCGCAGCAGAGCACCTGTTGGGGGGAGAAAAGTAGAGCACCTGAAAAAATCCATGAACAAATTCCAACAGCAAAAAAATGTTCCTATTTTGTTCAAATTTTCACTATTCTTTCAAACACATTACATTTATAAACTAACTGGAAAATTATCCAAAAGCCCTTTCACCTTTCACACATGCATAATTATCTTTTTTTGCTCATGGAGTTTTCACTGGCAGACAAGCATGCGCGCATTGTGCATTGCGGGCGCAGATTAAAATGCTGTGCGACCTGCAAAGAAACAATGTGAAGTGTATACCTAGAGCCGCTGCGCTTCGCAGGCGCGGGGGGGATTGGCAGCATCTCCTTCAGAAATTACTGTGAAAGAGGAGGAAAATTTGATTTAAAATCCAGCTATGTAACTAAATTGAATTTGGGACTAGAAAGCCTTCGGCAGACCAATCCTTCCAGCCATCTGATGCGCAACATAAGGTTTCTCATAAAACAAAGAAAATGTCAATTCAGTTGTGAATTCATATTGATACCTGGAACTCTCCTGCTAGACCACCTCTAAAGGCCCAGGGTTCTTGGTCTCCAATTAAGAACTGTGCTGAAGAATGACTACGACACCCTGTTGAGATCAGATCCAAGCGGAGAACGTTACGAGAAAGGGGATTTCCTGGGGTCTCAAATGTCCAACAAACTAACAAACACTATGGAAATAGCTCTCTAACAATAATATTCCAGGGTTTCAGGGCAAGGCTGTGATAATAATTATTTTTAACAATTTTTAATGGAATTTCAATACCTTTATTGATGTTCCTTCCTTGGTTAATAAAAAAGTGTTGCCAGTTCTATTTGATGCTTAATTACTAGAAGGAAAATTAAGTCCCAAGTTTGTCTGGGTCAAGTTTGTAACTATTTCAATAGTTATATAAATCAAGCCATCTGACATTAAAGTAACCGTAAACTGAAATGAATGATAGATTATTTTATTATCACAGCCCATGAAGGAATTAAACCTGTCTGAAGTCACATTTTACATTTTGAGGAAGGGTACAGGAAAGGGAAGGGGGGGGAGGGTAATCTTGTCAGAAAACTAAGGTTAGCAGAATAAATAAAAGAAATTGTTATTAAGTTGACAAAATAAAACATAATGAAAAAAAACTTTTTGGACAAGGATCATCTAAATTTAGACATGGCTAGTTATAATACTAGTCAGGCAGGTATTGAAAAATGAGAGCCAATTAAAGCTCCTAATTTGTCCAGTGTTAAAAACATTCTTTTCTTAAAAATATGGCACTTTCTGGTTCCTCTGGTCAGCCATTATCATCTTTATAATGCACTGAACACATGAATGAAATGGCAGGCTTTGAGGTCCAGAAATCAGTTGTTTAAGGCCACCACTTAATCAACTTCATTTAAAAGATAATAAAGGCAAATGTTTGGAAGCCAAATCAAAATCATCTGCCTAGTCTTCTGACAAAATAAGCAGCGCAATAGTTCTTTTCCATTGGAAGACAGCATTCTACCTCCTGTTCAAGTTAACAGTCTCATCAGTACAAGATACAGTGTGCTAGTCAGACAGTCCCAAAGCAAACCAAATTTTTAGTTGACAATTCAGCCCATTAAGAGATTATATCTGAGTTTGTCATGTTTTAAGGGTAGGGGTATTTAAAAAAAAAAAACACAGAATATAATATTTGTAAAATAAATATGAAATAGGGCCAAAATTTAGACTATAGAGAACTTGCCCTATTCAGTAACTCAGTGTGATTTACACTGCAGGGAAAAAACTATACTTCTCAAACTTTAAATTCAGCCAATTTCCCCTACCCCCAACTTTGAGACTACAACATAACTAGCACTTCCAACTATTATAATAAAAAAGCTGCATGTACGAAGAGCTGTGTAAATGAAAACATGGTTAATGCCTCAGTCGCTGCGCAAACGTGACTTCAGTTCATGCCTAATGCCCTTAAATCTACCTGAACTACCTCACAGATAGAACCTTTCAATTTAAACTAATTAATCATGACGCGCTGTGAACATCTGCCGCTGTCCATCCAATAGTAGTAGACACTTGTGCTGAGGATTCTCCCATCTGTACACAATGGGGAAGAAGATAATAGAAGTCGTTAGTAATCAAAAGTACTGCATAGCCACATTCTTTAAAGGACTGAATGCCAGCTGGACTGGAGAGCAAAAAAACAAAGGGTTCTAATCATTAATCCCCCGAAGTTACTATAGAACCATAAAGATACTCTCCCTGTTGTGAGCTTTTTTAGAGCTATGTTAATACTAAGATGGTTACTGAAAACTTTAAGAGGCTCTGACCTTGAGACTGTACACCACTCTCTATAAACTGGGAAAGTTATCCTAATAATTGCATAACACAGAGATAAAGCCTGAGAAGAAAAATAAATGGTACTGTACATACTCAAGAATTAAATTTTTAATAATTCTTGAATTAAATGAAAACATTTAAAATCATATATTCTTTAAGCTCAATAGTCTATACTTAAGGTTCAAAATTTGTAAGTGCCTTGGAAATTTTTAGATTTAAATTCCTATAAGGATTAATTGTAATTCCCTGGCTAGAAGCCTAGAAGGCAAATGCTGTCATTCAACAACTAATACAGAGGATTTTCCTGAGCCTAAGAGTATACATCTCCTACCTACAATAGGTATCCTAGAGTCTTATAACAAGAGATTTAAAAAATGTTTTCCTACTTATTGTACTAATTTATATTCAACAACCCAAAGGAAGTTCTATATTGTCAAATAAACTTTTAGAAACTCAATTTTTTAAAAGTATTTTTTTAGTTGTAGATGGACACAATACTTTTATTTATTTATCTATCTATCTTATGTGGGGTTGAGGATTGAACCCAGTGCCTCACATGTGTTAGGCAAGCACTCCACCACTAAGCCATAATCCCAGCCCCAAGAGAAAGACTTAATTTTTAACAGTCCATTATATAACAGGAAAACTGTTTTACTTTTTAATATTTAACAGCCCCAAAGGTTTATGGGCAGAAAATGAGACATCTCACACTACTACCTGTTAATCTAAGCTCACAGTGTTTCAGACCATCTATTTCATAACTAAGACCATGATACCCATCATAGTATTTGTGACTACTATGAAAACTATGACTTGTCAGTCAGCTTTGCTGCCTGCTGTGTGCCATATGTAAGTTCATTACATATTCCTTATAGCTGGCTGAAACCTGGAAATGAAATGTGGTCCCTGGAGAAACTTGGCCATGCTGGTGCTTTTTACCAAGTTTTGAGAATTTCCAGAACAAACATCACTGTTTTCAATGGAGACATATGAAAGTCCAGTGAATGACATAGAGTTTTTAAGGGGACTATAATTTCTATCCCCTGCTAAAACCAATTACTTGGTAGAAGGATAAAGAAAACGTCATGTGAAATAATACTGAGCAGCACCAGAATAGCCTTCCACTAAAGCTCGCATGCGCACAGGGCTGGGAGGATGGCTTCCTCTTGCCAAGCCCCTCGGGTCATTTCAGCAATTGTTCTATTAGACAGAGCATTAATGTTACAGAAGACACAGCAAGCAGCAGAAAGCTTATAGAGTCACATTTCATAGTGTCTCATCTCCAAATCAGACAGTAGTGGTATATGGGGTCCCATCCAGGAAGCATTCAGTCAGAGCAAGTTAAAGTCAGTACTTTCTAACATATTTTCAATATATTTATGTTGAATTAGCCCAAGGGAGAAAAATTAGTGTGCTCAATATATAACGAGACATTTCTTCAACAAATGCCTAACTTTGAAAGAAACCTAGATAAAGAATTAAATAAGATTTGGAAATTCACCAATTCCCTAAAATGTTTTTCTCCCTGTGGGATAATTTTTTATATATATGTATATATTTTAAGGGACAATATATTTTAGGAGAAGATATTATTCCTGGTGCACCTACCTAACCACTGTACAAAAGACTTCACCATAGACATTATACTCTTGATATCCCAAACATAGGAGTACATGTCATAAAGGATTGTCCTGTTGGCACAATTGGAAAGCCGAGTGAACATTCCCATCACTAGTCCACACATCTCTTCAAACTTGGCCGCTCGAGATCTCCATTCTTCAATCTATAGAAGATGAACAAAAATACTCAAAAAATTGTAAGCTTAACAAAATAATCTAAGACTGATACAAACTAAATTATTTATGTTGTCAGGTACCTGGAGTTTATTCTAAACATTAAAGAATCCCTGGCTTAAACTCTAGATAAACAATTAAATAGTCAGTCTCTCCAAACTGACAAATATGCCTAAAAAAATCATCACTGACATTCTTTCATTCCTAACTAAAACATCAAACTATGAAACAACATTTCAGATTCAGCAGAGTCCCTGTCAAAAACTTTTTTTTCTTTTCTTTTTTTGGTACCAGGGATTTAACAAAGGGGTGTTTAAACCACTAAGTCACATACCCAGTCCTTTTTATTTTTTATTTTAGAGACAGGGTTTCACTAAGTTGCTTAGGGCCTCACTAAGTTGCTGAGGCTGGCTTTGAACTTTCGATCCTCCTTCCTCAGCCCCCCGAGCTGCTGGGACTACAGGCATGTACCATAGCGTCCAGCTCAAAAACAGATGCTTAAAAACAACAACAAACCTCCCCATATATTTATTTTTTGAAAGTTACCAATATACTCATTTAAGAAACCGAACCTCCCCCATGTTACCAGCATAGGAACCAGATTGGCTAGAAAAGCAGCTAAATTATGTATGCTTACCTTTTCAGAGTCTTTGCCTTTGCAATTGACACTAACTACACTGCTATTTGCTCGAAGCCACTGGAATTCCCGTAACATTTGTGCTCCTTTGGGTCCATGCTCATAAGGTAGGTAGAACAGATCAGCAAGTAACTGCAAATCTTCTAGAGTCACTGGTTCTGCAGTGTACAAAGGCTTTTCATTTGGACCTGGCACAAACTGCTCCTTGTTTGTCTGTTCATCAGTCTGCATAGGAGCAATATCACTAATACAGTCTTCTTGCATAGACATCTCTGGGGATTTTGATTCAGCTATGCTTTCTTTATCAGTGTCCATCGGTTTCAATTCCTCTGCCATTTTAGCTTCAACAATTTCAGTTAGTATTTGATTGTCATTCTTGTGATCTGTTTCTTCTTGTTTCTCTACTACCATGTCCATGGGTTCCTCATCTAGCTGTTTCTTTTCTTCTTCCTTGGTCAGAGGTGTAGGTTCACCACCCAGAGCTGCTCCCTGACTCATAATGGGCTCCTGATAAACTGTTGTAACTACTGTTGTGGCATTTAAAGAGGGAGCTGCGACTAAGGGAGCCCCATCAACTACACTTGCTTTAGCTCCACTGTGTGCAACTTGCCTACCTACAAAAAAAGAAAAAAGAGATTAACTGGAATCTCAATTTGAGTTCCAAACACTTTGAAAAACCCCAAGAAAAGTGAAATTTCTCTAAACTACCAGGGAGGCAGGGAAGAAAGGACAGTGGGGGAGAAACAGGTAATAAACACCCTTAAACATGTAACAACTATTATCTTCTCTTTTTAAGATCTATACTTAAAGGCAAACATTTCAAATTAGCATTTCATCAAGACTAAAAATAAGATTTTTAAAACACATATTCTCTAGATCCCTAAATTTCATTTAATTTTACTGTTACTGGTCCTAAGGTAAGGAAAAGAACAGTGTTTTTCACTCGTGATTCAACCCAGTGATCCAATCCCCTTACAAAGAATGACCAAACTCACTGCTATACTGATGAGGTACACCGAACTCTTGCAACCATTCTGTTAAAGCTAGCTTTAGAGCCATCTGAGGACTATAGAGTACATCAGTTTCAATATCTTCATCACTGCCTTCATTTTCTAACTTTATCTGGATTGATACAGTACTGTCTTCACTGTCAGCTGAAAAAAACAACAACACAAAGTAGTATTTATTACAAAAGCCTTTTGACAAGGGGGAGGCGAAAAAGCAACTACTAAGGGGAGAGGAGCAAAAGGGGAAGGGAAAAGGGAGAACTGTGAGCTGAAATCAAATTCCATGCATTTATAATTTTTGTCCATATGAAACCAACTACTATGTGCAACTATAAAGCTCTAATAAAAAATAAAATTGGAAAAAGCAACTAGCTGTTGTAGTACAACCACAGAAGCAAAGAACAACAAACCTTAAATGTAAAATGTAAAAATGCAAACACAAGTAAGACCATTTCACCTAAACAGTCATCTAAATGCACTGTTAAATGTAAAATCCCAATTGAAATAGTAGTTATTTTAGAATCATTAGAAAAACTTATCACAAATATCCATTAAGTATCAATTATTTGATATGCAAGGTTAAAGGCATCACGATTTCCATAAAAAAAAAAAAAAAAACTTTCCCTAGTCTTCAGGAACGTATAACTTCACTATTAATAAATACAAGGAGGAAGGAAGAATAGAAAAATCAACAAAGCCTTCACATAAACACAGATAAAGCAATGAGCTCAAAAAACAGTAGAACCAGGTAGAAAAAATGAACTCTTTGGGTTGGTATTCAAAAATCCCTTATTCTTAGTTTTCTGTATTTCCCTGCACATAGTCCAGTTCAGCTAGTGTCTACAGCTCCTTAGCATGCTCTATTCTTTTAGCTTCATCTCTTAAGGCAGAGAAATGTCCTACATACAGAAGGAATTGTGGTCTTATTCCTAATTTTATTTTTTATTGGGAAGAGGGGAACAACAATGACTGAACATAAATGGAAATACTGATTCAATAAACAACTGCAAATATGAGTACAGAATTGAGAGACCACAATAACACACAACCAAATATCATGATACTTCAATACCCCAAATGGGCCAAAATTCAGATAACTTCAAAATTTCAATGTCCAGCACTTTCCCCTCCAGCCCATGAGCCATTAATGCCCAACAAACTATGCTTGTACTTCAACCCAGCTTAAACATTCATGAAATTGTTTTCTGTGCTAAAGATCAAACCTAGGAACTTTAATATGCTAGGTAAGCACTCTACCACCAAGTTACAACTCCAGTCTTTGTTTATTTATTAATTTTTTTTTTATTACTACTACTACTACTACTACTACTTTGAGACAGGATCTTGCTAAACTGCCCAGCCTAGCTTTGAACTTGCAGATTCTCTTGCCTCAGCCTTCCAAATAGCTGTGATTACAGGTATGCACCACCCTGGTACTGTGAAATTACTTCTTAACACCATTCTTCATTTTTCTAGTGGTAGTAAGGACTGAACCCAAGGGCATCATCCTATCACTAAGCTACATCCCCAATTCTTTTTATTTTTAATTGTAGATGGACATAATTTTATTTACTTTTACATGATGCTGAGGACTGAAACCAGTGCCTCACACATGCCAGACAAGTGCTCTACCACTAAGCCACATTTTAAAAACAAAGAACCTCAGCTCCCCCTTTTTATTTTCTAAGACATGGTCTTACTAAATTGCCTAGGCTTATCCTTCTGCCTCAGCCCTCTGAAGAGCTGGGATTATAGGCATACAACTACCACATCCTCTTCTTTCTTACTGGACACTCTAGTTTAACAGAAGTGATCACTCCCTTCTCTGTGTTCTCTCAGCATTTATAGATAACTTACAATGCAACACACTACAGTACAACTGCCTATATGCCTTATACAACCCAGAGACTGATTTTTCAAAAGACCAAGACTTTACTCTTTGTCCTCAGTGCCCAAAAAGATGTACCTACCACATAACAGTCATTAAAATATAAATGAACAGTAAGCATTCTCTTAAGAATTTCATAAATAAAAAATTAGTAAGCCAATGTCATAAGTGTAAATGTGTTCCACAAATCTAAGCTGAATGTAAATGATATATGAAGTATCTCAGAATATTTAGTTATCCAGAATATCGCATTTTAAGAAAACTGCCTGAGCCAGGTGCAGTGGCAGGAGGCTGAGGCAGAAGGATCCTGAGTTCAAAGCCAGCCTCAGCAAAACAAGCCAGGCGCTAAGCAACTCAGTGAGACCCTGTCTCAAAATAGGGCTGGGGATGTGGTCCTGAGTTCGAGTGACCCTGAGTTCGATCTCTCGTACCACCCCCCAACAAAAAAAGGAAAAAAAACTGCTTGAAAATACAAATAAAATGAAAATTATTCTAGGAATAATAGGAATATAAATGACTCTCTTATCTGGTACTCAGACTTCAAAAGATTGAGTCACATTTTAAAAACAAAGAACTAAGGCCAATAGATTAAGTGAGTTAAGGTCACTCACCCTTTCTTTTTAATAGAAATGAGCATTTCTTAATAAAACCTTTCTTTTCCTTTTTTGAGATGGGGTCTTCCAATGTTGCCCAGTCCTAGAATTTGTGAAACTTCTGCCTCAGTTTCCCAAGTAGCAGGGATTACAGGTATACCCCACTGCCCACCTGCTTAATAAAACCTCTTAAAACTAATAACAAAGGAATAAATTATTTGCCAAAGGTTCTATTTAACCCCACCTTCCAAGGTCAAAGATCAAGTATAAGCTACTTACTCATCACTACATCTTTTCTCACTCCATTCATGTTTGATTTGTACCAAGTAGCAAGGGTGTGGATAGCAACATAGTTGGCTTCAAATTCACAATTTGGATTAGTCAGGACTCCTTTTAACCGTGGGATGAGTTCTGTAGATCTTCCTTTGTATGGGCCCAGAAATAACCTCTTTTGATCATAATCATTAGCATGAATGTTATCCCAGATTACTGGAGCTCTCTTAATAATCTTAGAAACCTCTTCAATAGACTCTACTGGAATTTCTTTAGAAACAACTTTGGGACCTACAAATAATGATAATCATTTGTTAAAAGAATTTTCTTTAAAAACTGCTATATATAAAACTCTTTATTGTACTTTCCTTTATATACACTTTATAACAATTTTTTTCTTTCTTTTTTTGCAGTGTTGAGGTTCAAATGCAGGGCCTCATGCTTATTAAGCAAGTGCTCTACCACTGAGCTAAACACTCCCAAGCCCCAATTTTTCTTTTTAAACTAACAATAGCAATATATATGTCTTTTTACTTATTTATTTCTTTCATTCACAAAACAGAAGTTTTCTAGGGCTATGATCAATATCTCTAGCCCAGTTCCACAAACCAAATATTCACAGTAACAGATAATTAGTCATGACAAAAATCTTTCAAGATTTTTCCTTTTTTGAGGTACTGGGGATTGTACCCAGGGCCACACATATGGTAGGCAAGAGATGTACCACTGAGCTATATCCCTAGCCCTTTTTATTTTGAGACAGGGTCTTGCTAAATTGCCCAGGCTGACCTTGAACTTAGGATCTTCCTGACTCAGCCTACCAAATAGCTAACCAGGATTATAGGTATGAACCACCACACCTGGTTTTTAAGGTGTTTTTTACATGTCTGTAATCAGTCATTCAGGAGGCAGAAACAGGAGAAACATCCGAGTTCATAAATTTACCTTGGGCAACACAATGAGACCCTGTCTCAAAAAAAAAATCTTTTTGTGTATGGACAAAGATCAAAAGAAGAGTTGCCAGTTTGAAGAAAGTTCTTTTTCAACAGACTTTATATGAACTGTAAACCAGATTTAAAAAACAGAAACTTTGGGAAATTTGATGTGCATGGGGAGGTAGGTCATTTATTGAATAAAGAACACGGAATTGTGTGTGTATGTATATATTATATTTATACGTGTATATATGTAAAAGAATTACCTGTCCAAAGGACCTCAATTCCAGGTAGAAGCTTTTCACCCACAGTCCTTAAATAAGGAGACTGAGACACATTTGGATAACAGAAAGTGCCACAATATTCTGAATGTAAAGAGAAAAAATTAGGTACAACAGTCATGGACTTTACAATGGGAAAAAATGTCGACCAATTCTAAATTCTTTTCATCCTAGTGATAAAAGGCTTCAATATCATACCTAAAAGGGTGTAAACTCAAGTAGGTAATTCACTTAAGAACCAATCAATTCATAAAAGTTGATAATCTCCCTCCAACAGTAGTACTAATCAATCCTTACAATCTTATAGCCACTAGAAATATAGGATTACTAAAATAACAACTAGAATATTATCATTTTCTACATAATCCCCTACATTTTAAATTTACAATCAGAGGTCAAACAGAATAATTGATAATAAAATAAAACAAATACAGAATTATGACAATGGCTTAATATTCAACTATACTTTAAATTATGACTTAGTGAATTAACCACCCCCCCTTTTTTTAAACCAGGGATTGAACCAAGGGGCATTTAGCATTGAGCTACATCCCTAGCCCTTTTTATGTTTTACTTTGAGACAGTATCTTGCTACCTTGCTAAGGAAGGTCTTGAACTTGGGATCTTCTTGCCTCAGCTTCCCAAATTGCTGGGATTATAGGCCTGCACCAGTACACCTGGCTCCCAGTATCTTATTAAAAATAAAATCTGAATATTCATGTAGTATCAGACCATTACAATATAGTTCATGGCTCACAATAGATATACACAAAATTAAGTATTCTAAAAACTAATTTATCTGTTCCAGAACAAAAATAGTGTCTGGGAAAAACTTTAAGAAGCAACTAAAAGAGCCTAAAACATTTTCAATGGAAGAAAACTGGAGGAGGGGAATGAAGAAAAGGAGAAAATTAAGCTTTCTATGCTGACTACTGTAAATAAGAGCCCAGATGGGAGTGGGAGGAGTGAAAAAAGGAACAGATATACATGGGCAGAAAAAAGAGAACAAGTAGGAGGAAATGAAAAGTGACTAAGTTAAAAGCAATGTAAATTTGTTTTTTCCCCAGTTTTCATTTCAATAATACTATTTCTCCTTAAATCCCAACAATGTAATGTTTATATATTTTCATTACTAAATACATTTTTTGCCTGTCGGTTGTCATTTATAAGCTCCTAATGTTCTCTAAGATCTTGAGAAATATTTCCCAGAAAAAGGATTCCTACTTTTATACAATAAGGGTATAACAAGGCTTATACAAAGGGTCCTTTGGAAGTTACATATTTCAAAACTAGTTAAATATAAAGATATTATATACGATACCTGTAGGACAGAAGAGGAAAGTTTCTGGCTCTCCTAGGTACTGATAAATTTCATTTGTGATGGAGACTTGTGCATGAGCAAAAGAACTGAATACCTCTTTGTCTGCTGCACACATATTATGGTCAATATCATCAAAAAGCAAAGCAAATGACCTGCATCCAAACTGAGAAACCTGGGGTGAGGGAATCAAGATGCTTATCAGAGCTCATTTTAGAGTTAAAAAAAAACAAAGGATTTCAAATAAAGTATATTCTCAGTGATTATACTTTTCCCCTTGGTACTGGGGATTGAACCATGTGGCTATATCCCCCAGTCCTCCTTACTTTGAGACAGAATCCTGCCAAGTTGCTGAGGCTGGTCTTGAACTTGCAATTCTCCTGTGTCAAGCCTCCTTAGTTGCTGGGATTACAAGCCAGGTGTGCACCACTGCATTGAACTTAGTATACTTAAATATCTTCCTTATAACTGTTCAAAGCCTGACCTATTGTTGTTACATTTTTTGGGGGGGGGGGTAACCAGGGATTGAGCTCAGGGGCACTCAACCACTGAGACACATCCCCAGCCCCTGACTTTTTTTTAAACTTTATTTATTTTTATGTGGTGCTGAGGATCAAACCTAGGGCCTTGCACATGCCAGGCGAGCGCTCTACTGTTGAGCCATAACCCCAGCGCTTCCGACATTTTTTAGATATATTTTTTAGTTGTCAATGGATCTTTGTTTATGTATATGTGGTGCTGAGAATCGAACCCACTGCTCACACAGGCTAGGCAAGCACTCTGCCACTGAGCCACAACTCCAGCCCCCGACCCTTTTTTTGTATTTTATTTAGAGACAGGGTCTCACTGAGTTGCTTAGTGCCTTGCCATTGCTGAGGCTGACTGTGAACTCATGATCCTCCTGTCTCAGCCTCCCAAGCTGCTAGGATTACAGTCATGTGCCATGGCGCCCAGCTTTTTTTTTTTTTTTTTTACATTTTCAATGGAAGACATTCTAAGTTAAATACTAGACAGTTTTGGAGCCTGTTTTTTCCTTTGGGTTTAAATACAATATAAAAATATGTTCCAACAAAGTTTCTATTTCCTTGGCTGCTGCTTATAAAAAATCCAAAAAAAAAAAAGGAAACTGGGCTGGGGTTGTGGCTCAGTGGTAGAATGCTCGCCTAGCATGTGTGGGGCGCTGGGTTCGATCCTCAGCACCACGAAAAAATTAAAAAATAAAATAAAGATATTGTATCCACCTAAAACTAAAAAATTCATATTAAAAAAATATAGAAACACCAATAAGTAAACTCAAGACATGAAAAATCCAGGATCTGTTCTAGTCCCAAAAGACACATTGATCCTAAGTATTACCTTTACAGATAGATTTAACTAGACATGAATCACAAAGCACATAACAGAATTTGATAAAATAGGGAAATAACCTTTTAAAAGTTGTTGGGGTACCAGGGACTGACCCAGTGGCACTTAACCACCAAGCCACATTCTCAGCCCTTTTAATTGTTTTGTTTGTTTTGAGATAGGGTCTTGCTAAGTTGCTACAGGGCTTGCTAAATTGCTGAGGCTGGTTTTGAACTTGCAATCTTCTTGCCTCAGCTGAGTCACCATGTTTGGCCCATTCATAAACATTTTTAACTACTTTAAAATTTTTATTTTATTTATTTATTTTTGGAAACATAGGGCCTCATACATGCTAACCACACATACCCCTGAACAACACTCCCAGCTACACCTTAAAATTTTTATTAGCTATTTTAATGTCACTAATATAAACCTTTGCCTAAAGAAACACTATACTTATTTAGAAAAATCAACACACTTAAAAAAAATAATAATAATGGGAAAGCTGGGCATGGTGGTGCATGCCTATAATCCCAGCTATTTGGGAGGCTAAAACAGGAGAATCACAAGCTCAAGACCAACCTGGGTAACACAGTGAGACCCTATTTCAAAATAATAGTAAAATAAAATGGGTTATAGCTCAGAAGTGGCATACTCTTGTGCTCAATCCCCGGTACTGCCAAAACACTCCCCAAAACAATTAACAAAAAGAACCCTAAACCCAGAAACGGGGAAATGGAAGGATTACACTTTATCAAACAAGACGTACAGCTTTCATGTTAAGTACAATTTAGGCCTAAATCAGGTTCACCAAGAATTTATGTGATTACCTTGTCTGGTTTTCTTCTCATCTTGGTAAACTATCCATTTCCAAACAGAAGTCTACCTATCAATCATGAATTCAGACAAGCACCCAAAGGTATGTACAGTTTCTCAAAACATGGTGAAGGATAATCCCTAATTACCTTGTTTGTGGTCCCTACTCCATATCAAAATTCTTTTAAGAATCATTTCTAGCCAGGCACAGCGGCACACGGCTGTAATCCCAGTGGCTCAGGAGGAGGATCGCAAGTTCAAAGCCAGCCTCAGCAACTTAACAAGGCCCTAAGCAACCAAGCAAGACCCTGTCTCTAAATACAATATAAAAAAAGGCCAGGGATATGGCTCAGTGGTTAAGTGCCTCTGGGTTCAATCCTGTGTACCAATAAACAAACAAACAAATCACTTCTAAGTATCCCTAAATCCCCAGGGCCTTGCACATGCTAGGCAAGTGCTTTACCACTGAGTCATCGCCTAGCTCCAGCATTCTCATAAGGCAACCAACTCTATGCAAACTAAAATTTGAGATTGGTATCTCTAGTAAAGTTCTTTTGACTTACAGAAACAAAGTACAAAGATGAATTTCTTTTAACATAATAAAAGCAATTCTGAAAACTTATTTGTTTAAGCACTAAGCCAGAAAAAAAAAAAAATGTAAGGAATTACCTGGTCCAATTTGCGTTTTAATGTAGATACTTCCTTAGGGTTAGAAAAAGTGATATCCAATCCAGGTGAGATAGCATAGATGAACTCTATCTCATATTCCCGGGCAGCAGAGATGAGAGTCATAAGTTGCTCTAAAAAACAGAGTCCACATTTTTAGAAAGCAAATAAGAATCTTCACTTTCCAAATGAAGAAATAAATTGTTCTAATTTACAAGAAAAGTTTATTTTGAAAATTATTATATTCAATGTGATAACAGGCCATACAAAATGGCACAAGCCTAAAGTGATTTAATGTCATATATGAAAAAAACAAGTTTCAGTTTTTTTTGGTACTGGAGTTGAATCCAAGGGCACTCTACCATTAAGCACACCCTATCAGACCTTTTTATTTTTAGATAGTCCCTCCTTACTATGTTGCTCTAATTTGCTGAGACTGAACTGGAACTTGGGCTCCAAATGCCTCAGCCTCCCAAGCTGCCGGTAATATAGGCATGCACTACAGTGCCCAGTTAAGTTCCCACTTTTTTGATTTGAATCAAAAGAAAATGAGGTCCTTCCTTCTCACTTCCAAATAACTTTTTGCTGGGAGCCATTAGCCAAGTAGGTATGACAATTTCCTTGCCAGCGTACCCCATGTTGCAGTGACATTGAATGTAGGTGACCTTGCTCATGGACCAAGGCGGATTAGGGCGTTCCCGGTTTAGGTTCCAGGTTTAAGGTTTAAGATTATTCCTGCTGGGAATAGGGCGTATCCTGCTGCCTGAGTTCCCCTTGAGTTCTCACGGGATTCAGACAGTATTTTGGAGACAGAAGCCCAGTGGAGGTGGATTTGGGCAGAGAACGTGAATTTGGGCAGAGAACGTGGATTTCCCCAGAACGTGATTGTAGACGGCTGGTGTGAGTTCGGGAATAAAGAGTTGCTGTTTGAATCTACAAGCTGTGTGGTGGCTCGTGATTGTGTGCCCAGCCAGACTGCGGCATTTGTGCCCAGCCAGACTGTGGCAACTTTTTATCCTTTTTAGGAAACAAGTTAAAATCAATAAAGTATTTTTTCATTGCCTTTTGTCAAAAATCTTGTATTATCAAGTTTCTTAATGAACATAAACCATTTATACTCAACAGTGTTTGAAAGGTGTATCTCTATCTTCAAGAAAACATTCATTACAGATTTAAGCCTTTAAAAAATATGTCAGGCTGGGGCTGTGGCTCAGTGGTAGAGCGCTCGCCTAGCATGCATGAGGCACTGGGTTTGATTCCCAGCACCACATAAAAATAAAAAAATAATAAAAAAATAAAGATACTGTGTTCACCTATAACTAAAAAAATACATATTTAAAAAAATATGATAGGCAATTTTCCTAAGTGATTTACTATATTATATGCTTTAGGATTTTTTTGGGAGGGGGCATGCTGGGGAATGAACCCAGGGGCGCTTTACCACACTGGGCTACATTCCCCGTCCTTTTAAAATTTATTTTGAGGCAGGGTCTCACTAAGTTGCTGAGGCTGGCCTCAAACTTATGATTCTCCTGCCTCAGCCTCCACAGGTGTGCACCCCCACACTCAGCCAGGATATATTTCTGAATGTTCTGAATGAAGTTCAGTTATACCTAAAGGTAGCCGTTTGACTATATCTTGATAATTGATCACATTAAATTTCATTACCAGCATCAACAGAAAATAATTAAGTTAAAGGCACACTTAAATTACATAATTTAAACAACACTATACAGAGATAGGTAAATTTTACTTGCTTCTTCATAATTTAAGAAAACTATCTGCCTGGGCAGAGCTCTATAACCAAGTATCTTATTAATTACATGTGTGTTACATGTGTATACTATTTAATTCTAAACATGAAAATGTCTCCCCATTCACTAAATCACCCCCCAAAAGCACCATTTGGTCAGACAAGGTAGCACACAGCAACTTGGGAAGCTAAGACCAGAGGATCACAAGTTTAAGGCTAACCTCAACAACTTAAGTAAGGCCCTCAAGAACTTCCTAATGCCTGGTCTCAAAATAATAAATAAAAAGAACTGGGGAGGGCTGGCATTGTGGCTCAGCGGTAGAGCACTTCCTTGGCATGTGTGAGGCCCTAGGTTCAATCCTCAGCACCACAAACAAATAAATAAAAGATGTGTTGATAACTTTAAAAAAAATTTTTTAAGGATTGGGGATATAGCTCAATGGTAAAACAGCCTGGGTTCAATTCCCAGTACCAAAACAACAACAACAAAAAATCCCACCTGTCTGATATACAGGGAGGTTCTATGATATAGTACTAACTTATGAACTAATATAATTAATTCAACATAACAATACACATAGCTAGGACAATTTTTATGGACTTCCACTTCACTGGATAGGATAAGATCTTTATTTTAAATAAAGACAGGATCACTAATAGTGGTCAAAACTAAGCAACGAAGGCTGGGGTTGTGGCTTAGTGGTAGAGCACTCGCCTAGCACGTGTAAGGCACTGGGTTCGATCCTCAGTACCACATAAAAAAATACATAAACAAAAATAAAGTTAAAAAAAATATTTAAAAAAGACTAAGCCATGAGAGAGCCTGAAGCCGAAAGAATAATCAGTAATATAATCTTTACTTAAAATTTTAGTATTTCTTTCATCATGAATTTTTTGTAGAAATTTTGGTTTTTTAAAAAAATATTGCATAGTTGGGTACAGAACACATGTCTTTAATCCCAGCAATTCAAAAAGCTGAGGTGGGAGGTTCTCAGGTTTGAGGGCAGCCTCTACTACTTAATAAATACTTACCCTGTCTCAATGGACCGAGGATATAGATTAACAGTAAAGCACTCCTGGGTTCAATTCCCAGTACCATTAAAAAACAAAAAAACTGCAAAACATCATTTATCCCGATTTTTCCTGGAATCATATATTCAATCTATATTAGCTCACAGAGTAAATGGTTAGTATATAAAAGGAAACTACCTTTAAAGTGGAAACAAAATACTTAAAATATAGCTCTTTTCTTCATATAGTCTGAATTTATACAATAGAAAGAAAATGATTACCAGCTTCCTCCACTGAATACATTTCTCTCCAAAACATCCTATGTTTATAGTCATCTTTTGGGGCATACAAGTATGTATTCAATTCCCATTTCTGGAGCCTAAGGGGAAAGAAAATAATATTTAAGTAGGCTACATTTATAGGTAACAAATCTCAATTTTTCCCCCTTTCTTTTTTCTCCATTTCATGCAAAACTAATAATATTCTTAGATAACAGCTTTTCAATTTAAAAAATTAACATTGCAAAGTATGTCAACATGTTAAAGTCTTGAATAAAACTCAATTCTGGTGAGGTAGGTAAAACCCCAAAACTATTCAGCTCACCCAAGGAAAGTTTGAAAACCACTGGCTTAAAAGATAAAAGATCAAAGTAAAATTACTTCTATTAACTAAGAAACTATACTTCTTTAACAAGAAACTATGGCTATTCAGTGTATTTTTTTTCAAATAAAAGGAAATGTCCAGGGCTTAAAGATCTCCTCTCTACTTCTTTACTTCATATAATAAAAATTACCTTCTAAAGAGTTCTTTTCTCTGTTCCATAACCCAAGGTCTTCCATAAAATCCTGGATTTAAGGTAAAAACAGAAGTATTTTCAAGTTTCAAATATGGTAACATTTATTGAGAACAGCAAATTACAAAACATACAATTACATGTAAAAAAATGTGTACAGTACACCCAAATCTGAAAAGCATTAGTAAAACATTAAGATTTGCTTAGGGGCTGGGGATGTGGCTCAAGCGGTAGTGCGCTCGCCTGGCATGTGTGCGGCCCGGGTTCAATCCTCAGCACCACATACAAACAAAGATGTTGTGTCTGCCAAAAACTAAAAAATAAATATTAAAATTCTCTCTCTCTCTCTTAAAAAAAAAAAAAAAAAAAAAGATTTGCTTACCTTTTAAAGGTGACTTTCATTCCTTTTTTGCTCAGATAAATTTATAATACAGTGACATTTATTACTTACGTGGTAGTTATTTAAAAATAGCTAAACCTAAAATCTCTTTTTACTGTCAATAAAAACCAAATACACTTAAATCTAACTTTTTTTGTTTCAGTGCTGGGGTCTTGAGCAGGCTAGGCCCTTTACCACTGAGCAATACCCGCAGTCCAAATCTAGTACCTCAATTTTACAATATCAAAGAGAAGTCAAGAAATCCAAATTGCTAACAATAACAATTAATATGTAGAAGGGGGATAAACTGCTTCCACAGGGGTGAGGTAAGGTAACTCAGAGTTAGAAATAGAAAAGAATCTGAAAACTTAATGATTGGCCTGAATTGCAAACTCGCAAACCATCATTAATTTCCAATGCCAAGATTTCAACATCAGAAAATTTAAGAACATGACTGATTTGCCCCAGAATGTCCATTGTAGGAAACAAGCCTTGCAGTCTAATGTCCTAAGTTGATGTAAAAGAACAAAACTGGTATTTGGAGTTCCCTAGTATGCTAATCATAGCTCTACTACACAAAACCTTACAGCCTGCCTAACCTTTACTTTCCACCTATTTCAGTCTAATCATCAGCAAGAGATAAGGACAACCACTTAAGAATGCCATGAAGAGGTCAATAAAAGCATTATGAACACAAAATGGCATCCTCTCTAGGCAGAATGATTAATGTGCATCACAAGAAAGAACAATGGCAAATTAAAGTAAAATTCATTACTTACCAATGTTACCAAGCTGGAGCATTTTGTCTTTTTTTGTTTTGCAGTACTGGGTACTCACACATGCTAGGCAAGAGCTCTCTCTGCCAATGAGCTACATCATTTCGAGACAGGGCCTTATGAAGTTGCCTAGGCTCAATTCTGAGATCCCCCTGCCTCAGCCTCTGTACCATGCCCAGGATAGCACTTTCATTTTTGACAAATCAGTATTTACTTCCTATACGTGGTTTTAAAATATTCTTTTTTTAATATTTATTTTTTAGTTTTCGGCGGACACAACATCTTTGTTGGTATGTGGTGCTGAGGATCAAACCCGGGCCGCACTCATGCCAGGTGAGCGCGCTACTGCTTGAGCCACAGCCCCAGCCCCTAAAATATTCTTGATATGGTAAAATTTTTACAAGTCTTTCTTACAACCCTGAGCATTATTCCCGCCCCCCCGGCATTAGGGCTGGGGCTACAGCTCAGTGGCAGAGCACTTGCCTAGCATGTGCAAGGC